TTCTTTCCTTATTTGTTTAGCATTTCAGGATGTATAATATGAATAAAATCACCCTTCTGGACCCCCAATAGACTGTTTCTGATATTTCGGAGTTGCAGTTTTACAAATGGCTAACATGGCTAAATTGTGGTGGTATTTACCTTTCGAAGAATGCATTTTTTCCTTTATTAAAAAAAATGAGAGCAGTAGACAGTAATCTCTAATGCTTTGCTGCGAATCGGCTCCATATATGTCTTGATGTGCCTTTTCTTTAAAAACACTGATCTTAATATGTGGATATGTACTATTTTCCTTGAATACAAGAAAATCCACACTTTCTTAAGTTTGATATATATATGAATCTTGGTTAGGGGTGGAAGCATCTCCAAAAAGGCCGATACTTGCCTTAGCTAGCCTCTTTAAGCTTTTTGTTTCATTCTGGTTTGATGACATTGCATCAAACTGATAGATTTTCGTATGTGGAGGCCTTCACTTTTCCCGAGTACATAAAACTTAAGCTCATATTTAGGGACATATAGAGACTGTTGATATGCAAACAATTTGAGAAGTTATATTCTCTGTTAACTCATTGTTCTCTCTGTTCTGAATCTTGCAGGCCAATGCATGAGATAACTTTTGCAACTATTGATAAGCCAAAGCTCCTTAGTCAGGTAGTCACACTTCTTTTTCCTTGGAGTGTGGAAATTCTTTGACACGGCTACTCACAGAATTAGCCCTGGCATAGTTGATAGAGCTAACTAAATTCAGTAAATTAAGAAGCCAGCATACATAATGAATGAAAAAATAGTTTTAACACAGAACTTGGTAATAGTAGGAAGAAACTAACAAAATACATTAAAGCCATTTCCAGAGTAAACTTCTGTTGTGAACTGGCAACTACTTGCCACCTGACACTCTGTCATCTATGCATTATTTTACAGCTGACCTGTTTGCTTGCTGAGCTCGGTCTTGACATCCAAGAAGCACATGCATTTTCAACAATTGATGGCTACTCATTGGATGTATTTGTCGTCACTGGATGGCATCTTGAGGTACATAGTTTCTCTCTGCTTCCATTATATCGCTGCTTCCATTATATCGCTGAAATGGGTTATTTGCTTATTAAGGCTTCTTTTAGTTCGGCAACGTGTAATATTTTTATGCTGCTATATTAATATTAATATTATTATTTTGCTGCAACTTCTAGAGTACTGAGCAGCTGCAAGGAAAGTTGCTTCAGAAATTTCACAATGCTGAGGTATAAGCTTCCTTCTTCCCTTCCTTTTGTGAAGTTGTTAGCTCCATAAAAAGCAACCTTTTGCTCTCTTGGTATTACTTAAATTGTTCTCTCTGCTTTTCTTGAGAAGTTAGTTTGTTGAAGAAGATAAAAAACGTTAATTCTATCTGAAACAAATGAATACAAAAGATCTTGTGATTGGCAAAGTTCAAATCTTGATGGATACCATGAAAGTGTTACTTTGAACGTTTCATATTTGACACAGTGCTTCTATAGTGATTTGTTCTGAAATTATGAGCGACTGTTTAACTGTGGTAAGTTAGCTTTCTATAGACACGAGCTTGGCCTGTATCAAGCTCATCATCACCATCATCAGAAGGTCCACAAGGTGGACAAGGTATGCCATCTACAAGTGTTGAAATTCCAACAGATGGTGCAGATGTTTGGGAAATTGACCTTAAACTGCTTAAGTTTGGAAGCAAAGTTGCTTCCGGATCAAATGGCGACCTGTAAGTTTCAGTTTTCCTTACTCAATAACGTGGAAATGGGAACCTATTCAGAGCTTCATCTGATACTTGGGCTTGCTTAGATACCGTGGAACATACTGCAATCAGGACGTGGCCATCAAAATAGTGAGGCCTGAGCGCATCAGTGCAGATATGTACCGAGATTTTGCACAAGAAGTGTACATCATGAGGTTTGTTTGAAATTTTTTACTGACATGATCTTTCCAAAGACAGTTGCCCCTCCCAGCTACAATTAATTTCAGTAATGTTGAAGATGTCAAATACCTAGTGTAGGTTTTAATAATAGTTCATAAATGCCTCTCAACATTGTTAATCATGCAAATGTTTCTTGGTTTATACATGCTTGCAGAAAGGTCCGTCACAGGAATGTCGTGCAATTTATTGGTGCCTGTACAAGACAACCAACGTTGTATATAGTAACGGGTATACTATGATGAGATTCATCTCTGCAGTAGGCATGTCAATAAATTTCTATGGTGTTTGATCCCCTTACCCCATTTTTGCATTTCCTTGTCTCAGATTTCATGTCAGGAGGGAGTGTCTATGATTACCTCCACAAAAATAATAATGCTTTCAAGCTTCCTGAAATACTGAAAGTGGCAACCGACATCTCTAAAGGAATGAACTACCTGCACCAAAACAACATAATTCACCGTGATCTCAAGACTGCAAACCTTCTCATGGATGAAAACAGGGTCAGTTTTTTTCCAAAGCCCTAAATCATGTTTTTTTTAAGAAAAAACTTCGGAAAAGGGCATGGAGTTCCTGGACTTCACTAGAGGAAAGACTTAACCCAGTTTACGAGTGAAACTGGGAACCAAACCATACAACTACACAGTTAATTAAAGGGAAACCAGCAAAAACTTGAGCATGACATTCTAGATGACTAACCAACTCAAAACAGAATCATATTGTTTGTTTGATTTAGAATGTGCAGAGCTGTCTTTGTGATTGATGATCGATAGATCTCAAAAGGTAATAGGAATATATTTTGCAGGTTGTAAAGGTTGCAGACTTTGGTGTTGCACGTGTGAAAGACCAATCTGGAGTGATGACTGCAGAAACTGGAACTTACCGTTGGATGGCACCTGAGGTGCACTGTCATGAATATGTATTTCAAAAAAAAAACAATGCATATTTGTCTGTTTCTTAAATAATGATAGCGATGTTATTATTGAAATTTCAGGTCATAGAACATAAGCCCTACGATCACAAAGCAGATGTTTTTAGCTTTGCTATTGTTCTGTGGGAACTGCTAACTGGCAAGGTAACTGCAGTTGCATTCTTCTACATGATTATGCACAGTTTGTGTTTTCTATTTTTAGTTTGTATATAAATTACTCATAAGAGTCTATTGATTTTCAAACTTTTTGATTCCTCAGATCCCTTACGAGTACCTAACACCACTGCAAGCAGCAATAGGTGTTGTTCAGAAGGTAAGTGCATTTGGCTTCCGTAGTTACGTTATTAGCAGCCCTAAGGATATGACCTAATGGAGTCTTCGATAGATACATACATCTAGGAGGTGCTGTAGTATTTTATTCAGTTCTTATTTTAGGTAGCGGCATGTGCAGACACTTGGGAACAGGGAGCAGTGCAGTTCTGTTAGAAAACAGTCTTTTAGAAGTGATGCCAGCCTTTGCTCTTTCAGGAAGAGTCATTTAAATACTGGACCATCATCCTTGGCTATGCATTTGTTTATTAATAGATTATATATATACATGAGATTAGAGGAACAAGTTCATTCTGTATGCTACAAGTTCTCATGGAAATAAGAAAAGTAGAAAACTTTATCACTAAAACACATATTTAAAGCAACGGGATTTGTATTACTGCTACACACAAAAAAACTGTGTACAAAACATACTCTTAATTGTTGATTTCAAGTGAAACAGGTAGCCGTTTATTTTCTTTTTTTTTTGTTAAAAGAAATATTGAAACCTTTTGTTTCAGAGCTTTTTATAGAGATTTTTTTACAGTTTCTAGTAATTTTTGGGTAAGGCCATATTATCTGCTCATGTGGAGACTCACATTATGAACAACTTGATTCACCCACACGCATTCTCTGCAGGGTATTAGGCCAATGATCCCAAAAGACACTCATCCCAAGCTTATCGAGCTGCTTCAGAAATGTTGGCATCGAGATCCAACTGAAAGGCCTGACTTCTCCGAAATACTGGAAATCCTACAGAAACTCTCCAAAGAGGTCAGTCCTGCATTTCCGGTTCTCACTTCTAGTTTTTCAATCACATGTCTAAACAAAATTATCATGATTTTACTCTACAACACGAAAATCAAGTCGACAATGTCTTTGCTGTCTAATATTACTCTCCAGAACTGAGCATTGTGATGTCTTACTTTGAAACAGGTGAAAACAGACCCTGAGGGTCGCCACAAAACAAAGTCAGGTTTTCTTGCAGCGCTGAAGAGAAGCCACTGAAGGGCACTGGGCACCCACGATAGTTACTCCAATGCAATGTTGGTGCTTGATGCACGCTGTAATCACAGCATGCTTGTGAAGTTCTGATGCAAATGGAATAGTGTGCTGTAGTTGTACAGTCACGATTTTCTCGTGTGATTGCAGTTGCTTTTCTCTTTTTGGCTCAATTGCCTTTTGTTTTGTTTCTCTGTCTCATGTATGTAATCGTAGATGTTTTTGTTGAATGTCCTAACGACTGATATAGATGAAATGTGCTGAAATAAATTCCTGCTAATGAGAAACAATTCTCTTCATGTCAGTAACTCTGAGATTTATCATAGATGATAATTTTTTCTGCTGTAGTTGTACAGAAGTGTGTCCTGTTTCAGCGAACTTTTAATTTGATCAAACGTAGCTCTTGACTGACTTGACTGATGCATTTTGACTTCCGGCACAATCTCAAGAGCAGGATTATTGTGAACAGACTGATCATCAACAATACCCCAAACCTCAGCAAATCGAAGAAATTACATGTAAGTACAACTCATCCTACTCTACTAACATCGGAAATCCTAGCTTAGCTATCATTCATCACCTTTGAGCTTCCTGACCTTGTCGAGGAATGCTTGACGGCCGGGGAAGGGACTGGCGCCCTGTCCGCCTTTCCCCGGCGTCCTCTTCACGTCGAGCATCTCGCCGGCGCGGCTGCCCCGACCCAGCCCCAAAATCTCCTTCTTGGCCGTCCTGATCTGAGCCTGGTTCCTGGCCGACGACGACCCCAGGACACCGCCGTCCGCCACGCCGGCATTCACCCCGAGCATGTCCATCTTGGCCGTCCTCACCTGCTCCTCCTCCTCATCCGCACCCGCTCCCTCCTCTCGTCGCGCTTCGCCCCGGTGCCGCCCGGGTCAGCCCCGGCGGCGTCGAACAGGGAGCCCTTCTTGGCGCCGCCGCCGGTGGAGCTGTTGCTGTTGCTTTGCTTCTTGCGGGCGCCCTTCCTTGGAATGCGGCCGCCGTAGGATGTGCCGAGGAGGCGGAAATCGAGGCGGCCCCACCCCTCCTCGTCGGAGAGGTCCCATCCGAAGCGCTCGGCCATCTCCTGGAGCGGCCCGTCGCCGCCGTCGTCGAAAGCGTAGTCGTAGCCGTCGGCATCACCGCGGAGGAAGCGGTGCGCGTGCTCCCACTCGACGCGGTCGACGTAGACGGGGTCGTCGAGGACGTCGCGCGCGAGGTCCGCCCAGGGCGCGGTGTCCCCGTAGTCGAGTTCGGCCGCGACCCACCGGAGGTACGACGGCGGCAGCGTGCCCAGCATCTGGCCCCTGTGCTTGCCGAACTCGATCACGCGGTCTCTCGCCGGGCGAGACGACGGCGCCGGCGGAGGCGGAGGCGTGGGCGCCGGTCCCGCTCTCGGCGGCCTGGCGCGGCACCGGCACCGGCGCGCGCGGGGTGGGTTGTGAGGGAGGGAGGCGGATGAGGTGAGGAGGCGCCGTTGTGGACGTAGGTGTCGGCGGAGCCGGGGAGGACAGGCAGGGTCCGGAAGCGGTCGGGACCAGCATCGTCGCGTGCGCGGCGCGGCGCGGCGGCCGGCGACCGAGGCGTGGTCTCTGGTGGGGAGTGAGCCGCCGCAGCGCACAGATGGAATTATCCGCTCGTCAGTCACAGGCTGGCAGCTCGGCGCGGCGCGATGGTATGGATAAATCATAAAAAAGGCGGGCACATCGTGTCATCTCTCACCTCATCCACATCCATCAGGCACCAGCACAGGCGGCTCCGCCAAGCCCAAGCAGCGATGCCAGCGGCGGAGGTTCTCCCCCGTGGCTTCGGCCTCGCTGCGCCGGGTCGCGTCGGGCGGGGGCTCCAGCTGGCGGAGCGAGCGGCGGCTCATGTCGGAGCTGGAGCGCACGGTGACGGCGGGCGCGGCCGAGCGCGTCATCCGCAGCTACGTGGGCACCAAGTCGGAGCGCGCCGCGCTCGCCGCGCTCTCCAGGCTCCTCTTGGATTCCAACCCCCTCGCCATCCCGGTGCGCTCCCTCTCTCAGCCGTACCAAGAAAGCTTCGTCATTTTTTCCAACACAAAATAAATTTGAAGTTTTATGCTCGTCCTTGTAACTGACATTACAATCCGTGAGCAATAGATTCAGGCCCGTTTAGATGCGAATTTTTTTTTTTACTTTTGACTATTGTAGCACTTTCGTTTGTATTTGGCAAAAAATGTCTAATTATGGACTATTTAGGCTTAAAAGATTCGTCTCGTCAATTACGGGCAAACTGTGCAATTAGTTATTCTTTTTACCTACATTTAATGCTCCATACATGGACCGTAAAATTTAATGTGACGGAGAATTTTGAAATTTTTTGGATTTTGGGTAGGATCTAAACATGGCCTCAATTTTTTTTTGCTAGTTGTTAGCTCTGAATTCGAGCGACCGTAGTGTGAGTGCCTTTTTTCTGATGAACTGTCATTGCATTCGTACTTAACTTGTGCGTGTGCATTCCAAGAACATTTGGAGATGTCTTAGCTTGTTGAACTATATTCCAAACTCCAAAATGGTCCACGCAGAAGAAAAAAAAATCATCACCTGATTCGTCATAAACCGGTAACTTCTAGGTCTATTGTTGTTGCAGTTCTATGAGGCGGTCACACAGGCCCCGTGGTTCAAATGGAGCTCTATCCATGCTGCGGCAGTTGCCGCCTTGCTTGAAGCCAATGGAAGCACTGGAGAATCAAGGTCTCTCATCTCCGACTCCATCGCGCAGCATCTCCAGTCCACCAGTGAGGTAGCTCTCTTCTACTGCGACCTCATGGCGGCTTTCTCCTCTCGTGGACTGAAGGACCGGGCGATGGATTTCTACGCTGAGCTACGGCCCATGCTGCTCTCTGGGCGCAAGACCTACATGGCCATGATAAAGTCCTTGTGCCTGATGGGTCTGGCCACCGAGGCTGAGAAAACACTTAGGGAGATGGTTTCTCTAGGATACCAGCCTGAGTCCTTCCAGTTTGGGTCGGTCGCGAAATGCTATGGCAAGTCTGGCTCACTGGCCGACATGGAGCGGGTTATTGCGTCCATGGTAGATGCTGGCATCCGCTTCGGCACTGGCGCAGCGGACACTGTGCTTTCATGCTACAGTTCCTGCCGTGATCATTCCAAGATGCTGGCATGGTTAAAGAAGATGCGGAAATTGCGCATCGCGCCAACTACGAAAGGCTACAACTTTGTGCTCAACTCATGTTCCTCACTCGCTTCGGTGGTTCAAGAGCTGGATCCTTCACTTCCACTGTCAACGACGGGGTTGGTCAAGAGGCTCAGGTCTGTATCTACACCGGCAGCAGAAGCCGAGCTGGTGCAAGAACTTCTGGCCTCCTCATCGGTGCTTGACAAAGCGATGGAGTGGTCAGAAACAGAGGTGAAGCTGAATCTGCACAGATTCAGTACAGTTTCAGTCTATGTGCTGATGCTGCAATGGGTGGATGCGGTAAAGGGTCGTGAATTGCTATTGGAGGTGTCAGTGGTGTGTGGCATTGGAAAACACAGTGATGTCCGAGGTGAGCCTAAAGTGCGTGAACTGGCACAAGAGGTACTGAGCCGGATGGGGAGCCCCCTACAGCTGTCTACAAGGAACAAAGGGCGGCTTGTGGCAAAGCGAGACAGGGTGAAGCAATGGCTGGCCAGCTTTCCAGTGCCTGAGGAGGGCACACATCAATCGCCTGATGCAACAAACCAACAATCGTTTGTATTTACACTTTTCAGAAAACTTGGACAATTTTTTTCCAACCTCGTGTAGATTTTCAGATGAATAACAAGGTAGCTCATGCTGTAGAATAATGCAAATTACAAAGTGTATACAAGACTCTCAAAGATGTCTTGGGCTAATCCTTGTTCTGATGTTGGAGTATTATGCCTCAACTAGCTGCTTGATGCTGATGGGACCGACAAACTGTGCTGGTCCATCGTAGAAGGCAAGTCCCGCAAACTTAGAGGTAGCTTGGGTAGGGTGCAGCAGGTCCCAGAAGAGGTATTTGCTGCGATCACTGCAGCAGCTGGAGATGGGGGTGCACCCTATCTCAGCATTGAACCTGCCACCACCGCAGCATGCACTCTTCACTTCCTCCAACCCTGCAGGCAGAAAGTGAGCAAATCTGCAAATATACTGGAGAAAGAGGCGGCTAATCACTGGCATGCGTGGTTTCATATCTAGAATGCTCCTGCTGTCCTGCTCAGTTGTTGCAACTTACCAGCGGCATGTGGGTTTTGAATCAGACTAGAGACAAGCTGATAAGCACTGCCAATGGAGTACTTCATGCCCTGCATTTCTGTGCTGAGATTGCTGAACAGGTCCTTGATTCCATCATTCAGGCTCTTGGCTATCTGATTCAATTGCTCAACACATTCTCCTGTTGGGTTCTGACTTCTCAGGTATGGACAGCACCCAATCAGTGGCACGTTGATCACAGCGAATTTCCTCGCTCCCAAATGGTATAATGTCTGCACAACGAACATACAGTTATAGTGAATAATAAAGCATCGACTGGTTTGTCAGCATGTCAGTTGAGTAGCGAGTCAGAGTTGAAAAGAATATCTCAAAGGCTGAGTTGCTTGCTAGGCACCACAGCATATGGATTTCTCTGTGTTGAAGAGTATAGGACAGAGTTCTTACTTTGACATGGCTATCATACGTGGAGATCATAGCTTCAGAGAATTGCTGAATTGCAGTGGAGTCTGGTGATCTGTTCTGTGAGAAGAAGTCAAATGCATCATTGGATCCGGCGCTTATGAGGAAGATGGATTTTGACAGCGAGTCCGCCACTTTGCCAGCACTCAATCTGTTTGACATCTGGTCTTTAAGGTCTGAGAAGTACCCTATCTGGTGGGTCATGCTGATTGTAGAACCCTGGCATAATGACCATTTGGACCTTGATGTTAGTGTTTTTCTTCGAAGAAGTAATCATGTTGTTACTTGGTAATGCTGATTGTACTAGTGATTTAATTTGAAAAGGAAAAAATGTCTTGACAGGCCCAAGCGTGCTTCACTGAATTTATGAGCTGAGTACAAAAGTTGTTATAAATGGTTGAACTTCTGTGAACGATCTTTTTCCAACTTTATGTAGTAACTCATCACTTGATGTACGGATGCAATTAAAGTTATCTAAAGTGTGTGCAGTGATGACACACATTACACATACATAGTACTTGAAGTGTAAAGTTGAAGTGTACCATAAAGGCAGCCTAATAAGCCTAAATTTGCTAAAAACACCTTTTGTTTTTTAAGAATTAAATTGCCTAATAAGCTTCCTAAACAGCAAAACTAAGCTAATTGAGAGATTTGTCTAGTCAGAAACTGGAGCATGATTCTTACTTGAGAATATAGTATCTATTGAAGCAAGATTTATATGTCCCAAACCAAAAGACAAAAGAATTTGATGCAAGGTGAAAACAAATGTACAGTAGAGATAGACATACAGTGGAATCAAGAAGACCAGAGCCTGCAGAAGCGAAGTTGGCTCCGCTCATGTAGGCTGCTGCAGCTGCCACCGTCGTGTTCCTCGTCACCTCACTGCTGCTGCTGTTGGCAGCAGTGGCCGCCATGAGAGACAGGTAAGGTGGTGGGCTCCCGCTGAACCCCATAGCAATGGCTGCAAGTTTTGTCAAAACAATACTACAAGAACATAAGCTACTCTATCATCATAACTTTTTTTTCTGTCAGAAATTAATATTAGCTGCTGTAAACTTATAAGTCCTTTTGCAGCATTGTTTGTGAGATGTCTGCACACGCATTGCAGTTATCAGTACTTACCCAGGAAGTCCGCGCCGATGAGGCCGTTGCTGAACCTGCCGGTGGGCCTGCCGCCGGGGAAGTCCACGCCGTTGTGAGGGAAGTCGGCCCTGGCGATGCTCCACGGCAGATAGTCGTTGTTACCCACGTCGGCAGTGGAGTCGCCGAAGACGTACACCGCCGGGACCTTCGCCGCCGCGGCGCCGCTCGCCGCCACCGCCAGAAGAAGCATCCCGTGCAGCGCAGCTCGTTGCACAGCCATGGATGGCCACGGCCAACGACCGGAGTAGTGTGTCTGTCACTGTGTTGCACGATGCTGTCGAATCCAGAGAGCCATGTGAGCAAATTTATATAGATGTGATGTGATTGCACCAATTTATTTGCCAGAGGTAAGTAAAGTAAATATAAACACACAGCTAACCGAATGAATTGATCATTAGCTGTCGTGTTCCGTTTGTGCTACTGCTAGTAATGCCATTGGCAGTGCGACTCCTCATGGTCAGTGACTTGCTGCTCTGTTACCTATTCATGCTTTTTGGT